CTCTGGTGGTAGTGCCCAGGCTTCACTCTGCCTGGATTTGTAACCCCACTGTCTTGGGACTTCTTAGTGCTATAGTCACCTCGATGGCTTGGAGATGGAAAATTGATCACTTACTGGGTGCTAACAGGATTTAAGATCTCCAAGTGGGCCCTGGCCGGTTTGGCTCAGCGGTTAGAGCGTCGACCTGCGGTCCTGAGAGACCCGGGTTCGGTTCCCGCTAAGGGCACGTACCTCGGTTGCAGTTTGTCCCCGGCCCTGGTTGGTCGTGCGGGTGGCAGCCACTCGATGTGTTCCTTTCACATCGATGTTTCTCTCTCTCTCTCTCTGTTCCTCTCTCTCCCTCCCACTCTACCTGAACAAAAAATGGGAAAATGTCCTCGGGTGAGGATAAAAAAAAAAAAAAAAAAAAAAGATCTCCAAGTGGGTCATGGTAAAACTTTCAAGGGAAACAGTTCCTTGTTCATTCAGTTGGGGAACTTGCGGTGAAGCAGAATTCAGCCCAGTTTCCTCGTTGCAGCTGGTCAGCGTCTTCACACACCGCCGCCTTGTGCCTCCCAGGGGCCTGGCTGCTGGTCTGAAGGGCCGCAGGCCTCCCCGGGCGGGGTGGTGGGAACTGCTTGGGAAAGGGCTCGAGTGGATGGTTGGCGCCTAAAGGTCCCTCTGCTCTGTGTCCACCAGGCGTTTTCTCTGTACGAGGATGAGATCAGTGATTCCAAAGCCCAGCTGGCGGCCATCACGCTGATCATCGGGACCTTTGAGAGGATGAAGTGCTTCAGTGAAGAGAACCACGAGCCCCTGAGGACGCAGTGCGCTCTCGCCGCGTCCAAGCTCCTGAAGAAGCCCGACCAGGGCCGCGCTGTGAGCACCTGTGCCCATCTCTTCTGGTCCGGCCGGAACACAGACAGAAATGGGGAGGAGGTGAGGGGCCGCTCCTCGCGCTGCAGCGGGGGCAGTCGCGGGGTGGCTGCGACCGGGGCCCTGGAGGTGGGACCGAGGCGGGCTTGCAGGCCAGAGGAAGGCTGCTCTGTCTCCTTGACAGATGACAGGGAAAGGGACGTGCAGACAGTCGCATCCGGTAGCGAAGCCTTCAGTGTGAGACACTGTCACATAGCAGCCACACACCACTGCCTGTAGCACACACAGTCCAGGCAGACCCGGCTCAGTGCCTGTGGCTCTGTGAGTTCCTCCGACCTGCATCTTACCGTGAAGGCGTGGGCCAGCCCCGCCCGGGCAGGTCCCGGACCATTTCCACAGCACGTGCTCCCCTCCTGCCCGTCACAGCCTGCAGTCCTCAGTTGTCCAGCCTTTCGTCACTATTGCCCTTCTTCCGGTGATTTGTGACGGGTTGTCTTTGATGCTACTACTGTCATGAGCCGCATCCATGTAAGATGGGGAACGTAACTTGTCTGTGTTCTGACTGCTCTACCTTCCAGCCATCCCCTTTCTCTCTCGCTCTGCGGGCCTTCCTGTTACACAGTTAACGGACTACAGTGTAGGGAAACATAACCTATTTGTGCACAGGAAACCAAAATATTTGTGAGACTTGTTCTGTACCCATCCTCGCTGTATTGTGGTCCTGAGCCAGACCGCAGTATCTCTGAGGTGTGCTTGTATATAAATACAGAACATATATAATATACAAAACACATGACGTGTTTGCTTTAAAATATAGGTCTGCACTTTAAAAAATGAAGATTTAAATTCACTGTGTCCCTTTCAAACATGAAGAGGCACTGTAGTGTGGTGTTCATTTGCCTGTGTGACTGGGGCATTTGATCTCTCCCACCCCTTCCCCTCGTTCCAGCTGCATGGAGGCAAGAGGGTAATGGAATGCCTGAAGAAAGCGCTAAAAATAGCAAATCAGTGCATGGACCCATCTCTACAAGTGCAACTTTTTATAGAAATTCTGAACAGATATATCTATTTTTATGAAAAGGAGAATGATGCGGTAAGTGAACTCACGTTTTCCCTGCCTGCTCCCAGGTTCGATATGTAAGCTACATAGACACTTATCACTCTGGTATTTTCTCTTTTGTTTACAAGGGTCAGAGTTGGGAGAATCCACCTACTAGGCTCTGATTCTCCAGAATCCTTCTCTGTCTGTAGGTGCATCTCTGACGGAAGGACTCATTATGTGCAAGGAAATCTCAATTCGTTTGCTTAGGAAGGTTTTATAAAAAAGTCACTATCTGTCAAAAAACACACTAATGTACAAACACTGGGTAGTAGCTGATTTGCCATCACACACGTTTAGAAGAACTACAGAAAGAATGGTGCGTTCTGCTTCTAGCAGTACAAGTGCAGTGTTGGGCAAGATTTGTAGATAATAGTATTTTCTGTTGTTCTCTTACTGGTTCACAATGCTCTGTATTTTCTATTAACGTTTTTTATTTTTGATGACTAGCCAGTAGTTCTTACTTAAACATGGAAGCCTGTTCTTATCTCTCTTTTTTTTCATAATTACTCTGGTAATTGATGAAGTAACACAAGCTCCTCAAAACATCTTTATTAAGTTACCTGTCATTCTTTGTGCTACATTCTTGTTCAGGAACTTACACATGCTCTTTTGTAGGTCACGATTCAGGTTTTGAACCAGCTTATCCAGAAAATCCGAGAAGACCTCCCCAATCTCGAGTCCAGTGAAGAGACGGAGCAGATCAACAAGCATTTCCATAACACGCTGGAGCACCTGCGCTTGAGGCGCGAGTCCCCGGAGTCCGAGGGGCCCATTTATGAAGGCCTGGTCCTTTAAGGGAGCAGCCCCCGCGCCCCTTTCACACACATCCAGAGGGTTTTCTTACACTAGGCCTCCCTTCCATAGATTGTGCCTTTCAGAAATGCTGAGGTAGGTTTCCCGTTTCTTACCTGTGATGTGTTTGACCCAGCACCTCCGGACACTCACCTTCAAGACCTTAATAAAGTTATTCACTTCGTAAGTGTTCAGGTCATCTGATCACCCAAAGTAGCATGATTGGTTTGCTATTTAAAACTTCTGTGATCTGTAAAAAGTCAAAACAAAAATACTTCAAAACCACTTCTGTTGGCTGCTAATGAAGCCCTCCTTCCTTTCTTCCTGTTCTGTTTTGTTTTGATTGTGTAATTTCCTCTTACTTGGGAGTACTAACCCGGAAGTGTCTGTCTCTTTGTTCTCTACTTCAATTTGAGATTAATTTAGAAGAAAGGAATACTGTATGTGAAATTAAGCTCGGGCTTTTCCCTAAATACAGGATAAGGCCATGTATAATATTTTCCCTAAATCTAGAATATATTAATGCATGTTTGAGAATTTTAAAGCACCGTGGTCAAAACCAGAAGCTATATTTTGCATATGTGGACTCAGCCATCCATTAAGAACCTATGTTGTCCTCTTGACATATTTATCAAAATAATTTTGTTCTAAATAGTATAAAATAGAAAATTTGTGATCTATATAATTTATGTATAACCTTCATTATTGTAAATTTAGGGGGAAATGCATCATACCATTATCAATTTTTTTTTTTTTCACCAATGAAAATAAAGTTGCTATTAACAATTTGGACTCTTCCTTGTGTGCTTGATTCGTAAAAGGAACTACGAGAATGACTATAGAGTGGAAGTGTTTCCCTATAAAAAGACTCTGTAGTCTCGCTGTCTGGTGACCTCTGCTGTCGCTGGCCTGTCATGGTGGGGCAGAAGCCTTCAGGGTGGCTTCTAGATTTGGCTGGTTTCTAATTCTCGCTATGCTTTTTTGAGTGTTACTTATCTCTCTCTTTTTTATCCCCACCTGATGACATTTTTGCATTTATCTTTAGATAAAGCAGGAGGGAGAGAGGGAGGAGGAGAGAGAGAAATATCAATGTGAGAGAGACACATTGACTGGCTGCCACCCACACAACCCCAACCGGGGCCACGGGGCCAGGGATGAACTGCAACCGAGCAGGAACTGAATGTGCCCTTAGCGGGAACTGAACCCGGGACTCTCTGGTCCATGGGCCAACCACTGAGCTAAAACGGCCGGGGTGAGTGTTACTTATCACTTAAATTGAAATTTTTTTTTTAACCCGTCTTCTTGATGACTATTTCCTCATCTGTAAAATGGGAATAATAGTATTTCTGGTCTCATAGGATTTTTTAAAAATATGTTTTTACATATTTTTTTTAGGTAGAGGAAGGGAGAAAGAGAGAGAAACATCAATCAGCTGCCTCCTGCATGCTCTCCACTGGGGATTGAGCCGGGCATGTGTCCTGACCTGGAATGGAATCAGGACCTCTCTCTCAATCCATAGGATGACGCTCAGTCCCCTGAGCCACACCGGCCCGCTATTAGAAAGGTTTCTGAAGATGGAATGAGATCATGCAGGGAATGTCTTGCACATAGTACTCAAATGTCAGCTATTAATACTGCAGGTTATAATTGCGTTTGATGAAAAATATGGGCAAAACATACCTTTAGTAAAAGTTAATTTGACATTCAAATATGTGTGTGTCTGAGAGGCAGAGAGGTTGATTTCTGGTTGTGGGAGCCACCGAGGCAGACATACTATTCCAGTTGTAGGTAGCAGGTGAAGTGACTTGGCCAAGGGGGCTCCGCTAGTCATGGCACAGAGAAGTCTAAATACTGTGTTCTGACTCTCAGTCTGATGCCTTTTCTGCTCTGTTCCTGCCCATTTCTAGGCACAGCTTGTTAGCATTTTGGAAATCATCCCAAATGACCCAATTCAACTTCCTCCAAGTTCGTCCCAGTAAACCAAAGACCGAGTTTGGACGAGACAGCGGTCCTCCTGGCCAGTAGATGGCGCGCAGGCGCTGTATCCGGGGTGGACGCCGGCTGGAGAGGGGGGTGGCTTGTGTGGGGTGGGGGAAGGCGGGCGCGCACGATTCCCTTTGATTGGCTCGAGCGCCGCGGTCCCTATCCAATCAGGAGCGCCTGCGTCATCACGTCCCGGGCTGGGCGGTGCCCGCGGGAATTTGAAATGGCTGACGAGTTGCTGGCGGGTATCGGGCTGGGGTCGGAGGCGATGGGGCCGGAGCCGAAGCGCTCGGGCTGGGCGGCCGAGCGGGAGCCGGCGCCGCTGGAGAAAGGTGAGTGACCTGCGGCCCGTGGGCCGCCCCCCGGCGGCAGGCCGTGGCCGCGGGCCGTTCCGGGCGGGCGGGCGGGCCGGGTGGCGCTGGCGGCTGCGCCGGGCTGGCCTCGGGCTCCCCGGACCGCGGCGCATTGGGCCGGGCCAGCACCCCGCCCTGAGGGCCTCTGCGGGCTTCCGGGCTTCGTTCGCGCGTGTCTGCGTGTCTGCCCCCCGTGTGCGTCTCGGAGCGGAGGCTGGGCTGGGCCACCGCGCCCCGCGGGCGGGCGACGCGCCGCCCCCCCCCCCCGGGTCCCCCTGCTCATTCTTCCCGCTCGCGGCCGCCCAGGCTTCCGCCCCGACAGCGGCCCGTCCCGTCGTGGGGCCCGCGGAGGGGGAGACGCGGGCACCCAGTGCCGCCGCGGCCGCGCGACTGCGGGGGTCCCGCCGGCCGACCCGCGGGGCTCCCGGCCGGAGCGTGTTAACATCCGTCCGCAGCCTTTGCCCTCTGAGCCCGGGTGCTGGCTTCGGCGGGCCGGGCCGGGCCGGGCCGGGCGCGCTCACGCTGTTGCCCAGCCGCCCACCCCCAGAGCCCTTCCTTTCTGTTTATTTCCACCCGAGGATATTTTCCCTTGGTTTTATTATTATTAACGTTTTTCCTTGATTGATTTCGTAGAGAGAGGAAGGGAGCGGGAGAGAGAGAAACATCGATGTGGGCCCTGGCCGGTTTGGCTCAGCGGTTAGAGCGTCGGCCTGCGGTCCAGAGACCCGGGTTCGGTTCCCGCTAAGGGCACGTACCTCGGTTGCAGTTTGTCCCCGGCCCTGGTTGGTCGTGCGGGTGGCAGCCACTCGATGTGTCCCTTCACGTCGATGTTTCTCTCTCTCTCTCTCTTCCTCTCTCTCCCTCCCACTCTGTGCAAAAAATAGAAAAATGTTCTCGGGTGCGGATAAAAAAAAAAAGAAAAAGAAACATCGATGTGAGAGAAACATCCTTTGGCAGCCTCCTGCATGCCCCCCACTGGGGATGGGCCCACAACCTGGGCATGTGCCCTGACCGGGAACCCAACCGATGACCCCTTGGTGCAGGGTCGAGGTCAACCACTGCCACACCGGCCTGGCCCTTGCTTTTTTTTTAAAAATAGGAGCTGAAGGGAGAGGGTGGGTGGAAGAGAGACACACATGGACAGGTTGCCTCCTGCACCACCCTGACCAGGGCCCAGGAGTGAGCAGCAACCCAAGTACGTGCCTTGACTGGGAATCCAGCCGAGACCCTTCAGTCTGCAGGTGGATGCTCCAGCCCCTGAGCCACACCAGGCAGGGCGAAGGCGTTTCATTTTGTAAAACTGAACTCTTAAGTAATCTCACAGGGTGATCTGATCATAAATTCTAATTGATGTGCTAACTGCTGAGCCAAACCAGTATATAACTTCTTCAGTGAAAGGTTGTAAGGCAGCTCACACCTTTGAAATGCCAAAGGAATGCCCCTCAAAGTGGGGTGGGGAGTATTAGCCCTCAACCTTATTAACTGTCCTGTAATCCCATCCCCCCTTGCTTCCTCCCACCCTCATGTAACCTTCCTTCCTTTCCCTCCCTGATTCCAAGTGCCTAAAGGAACCTGCAGCCCTGGTCGGTTTGGCTCAGCGGTTAGAGGGTTGGCCCACGGACCAGAGAGACCCGGGTTCGGTTGCAGTTTGTCCCCGGCCCTGGTTGGGGTTGTGTGGGTGGCAGCCAGTCGATGTGTCTCTCACATTGATGTTTCTTTCTCTCTCTCTTCCTCCCTCCCTGCCTCCCACCCACTCTATCTGAAGATAAATGCAAAAATGTCCTCGGGTGAGGGAGGAAGAAAAAGGAATCTGCAGGCTGCCATTCTGAGTGGCACTTTCTCAGGCTACTGAGATCTTGTTGCTTCTAGGCGTGTTCTCTGTTTGGCTCAAATAAATTTTTATGAAATTCTCTGCAGGCTTGGACATTCTTTTTTTTTTTTATCCTCACCTCAGGACATTTTTCCATTTTTTGTTCAGATAGAGTGGGAGGGAGAGAGAGAGAGAAAAAAAAAACATCGACCTGAAAGGGACACATCGAGTGGCTGCCACCCGCACGACCCAACCAGGACCAGGGACAAACTGCAACCGAGGTACGTGCCCTTAGCGGGAACCGAACCCGGATCTCTCTGGACCGCAGGCTGATGCTCCAAACGTTGAGCCAACCCAGCCAGAGCCAGGCTTGGACATTCTTATGTGGACACTGTTCTGCCACCGTTTTACTTTCTGCCTCTATGAGTTTTGACTAAGTAACTCATGTCGGTGGAGTCACCCAGTATTTTTCTTTGTGTCTGGCTTATTTCAGTCATCACAGTGTGCTCAAGGTTCATCCATGCTGCAGTGTATTGCAGAGTTTCCTTATTTCTTAAGGCTGAATAGTAACATTCCATTGTGTGGATAGACCACATTTTGTGTGTCCGTCCGTCCATCCATCCATCCATCTATTCATCCATCCATCCGTTGTTGGACACTTGGGTTGCTTCCATGCTTTAGCTGTTGTGAGTACTGTTGCTATGACAATGGGCAAATATCTCTTGGAGTCCCTGCTTTCAAGTCTTTTTGTTTTGTTACTCTTTACTCCCGGATATTTTTCCATTGATTTTTAGATAGAGTGGGAGGGATGGGGGAGTGAGAGAGAGAGAGAGAGAGAGAGAGAGAGAGTGCAAAAGAAACATCTGATGTGAGAGCGACACATCAATTGGTTGCTTCCTGCATGACTCTGACTGGGGCTGGGAATCAAACCTGCAGCCCAGGTACATGCCCTTGACTGGGAATCGAACCCGAGACTCTTTCGGTCCGTGGGCTGACGCTCTAACCACTGAGCTGCACCGGCCAGGGCAACATTTGTTTTCTTGATAGTTTTCCTTTTTGTTTTTTAAAAAATTTAATTAATTATATCTTTATTTTTTAATTGTGATAAAATATGCATAACAAAATTTACCACCTTAGCCATTTAAAAAAATTCTTATTGTTGAGAATATTGCAGATGTCCCTCCTTTGTCCCCCTTTGACTCTTCTCCCCGTTCCCGCCTCCCCTGCCTTCACCGCACAGTTGTCTGTGTCCATTGGTCATGCAGATGTGCATGTACGCTCTCTGGTTTATCACTCCCCGTCCCTCTCCCCACCTCTTGCTGCTTTTTTGATAGTAGCCACCTCATGGGTGTGAGGTGACAGTGTGATTTCTTTAAGAAACATATCTATTGTGGGATGGGTACTGTTGTCAGTGATTAACAGATACTTCATTTAGTGGAAGTAGGCATCTGTTTTCATCGTGCCTGTATAGGGGAGGAAACCGAGGCACAGAGATGGTCACACAGCTGGCCCGGTACTGACATGCATTGGTGTTTTGCCAAGTAGTAGGCTCTTGAGTATGCTTTGGTCATTGTGGGGCACGTAATTGTGGTGCCCTCAACAGGGCAGAGGGGGAGAAGGAAGGAGGAAATGGAACAGCTTGAGGGGAAGACTGTCTCCAGTGACAGTCTCAGATCCTTCCGAACCCCCGGAACTACCGAGCCAGCCTGCACTCTGGCCCCAGCAGTCTGTTCAGTCATTCATTGTTAAAGATGTGGTAATTCACAGGATCAGCTCTGCTACAGCCTGGTCAGCCTCCCGAGGCAGTGACGCACAGCCCACACGGGGGTGGTGGTGCTGTCTCCTTCCTTCGGGTCTGTGCGCTGAGGAGGGACCCAGCAGCCCTGGCGGAGCAAACGACGCGTTGGCAAGACTCTCACCCGGGCCGTCCACAGGCTGGCGGTGCAGACGCTAAACGCGGCTTCAGCTCCTTCGAGGGGGTGAATGGGAAACCAGTCCTTACTAGAAGGCAGTTTTCTGGAATTATTTTGGGCAAAACAGACTAAGTTACTGACCTTGGTACATTGCTGGCGGCAGTGAGAAGCCTCGCTGTCCTGTGAAGGAGGACTCAGGTGATCTCTGCTGAATTCACCCACAGGTGCCCCCTGCGCCCCCGAGAAAGCCCAGAGACAGACCTGACTGAAGGGGCTCAGTGCCTTACTGTTCGAAGGCGAACTTGGGTTTGGACACGTGTTGACGTTTAGTCAAGTTTCTTCTGTAGCGGCGGAGTAACACATCGCACCTAACCCTTGCCTGTGTGTCGTGGGGCTTCCGAGTGAGGCCATGAGAGTGGACGTGGGTGAGCCCGAGGCCTGGGGCCCTGGGGTCATGGCCTGCGGACTGCCTGTTCTTTCAGGTTTGTTCCAAGACGGAGATTCGAGCAGCGACTGCCGCAGTGACGACAGCCCAGGGTCGCGGTTACCCAGCGTTGTGCTGCAGGGGAAGACCGCTTTCCCGGAGATGTTCCAGACGAGCCACCTGCTGCTCTACGAGCGCTTCAGAGCCTATCAGGACTACATTCTAGGTGCGCAGGCCCTCCTCCCCGGCATGCTGCCCTCCTCCCGTGCGCGGGGCTGTCGCAGGCCCTCGGGCGGCAGCCGTGGGCTCCGAGCACGCAGGCGCAGTCTCAGTGCTCGCTGTGTTTAATTTGTTCGCAGCTGACTGCAAGGCCTCCGAGGTGGGAGAATTCACGGCCGAGTTCCTGGAGAAGGTGCTCGAACCATCTGGATGGCGGGCGGTCTGGCACACTAATGTGTTCAAGGTGCTGGTGGAGGTAAATTTCATTCTGTCGTTAAGACATTTGTCTCTAGCTAGAAGCACTTTCCTCCAAACTGTTATGGCCAAAGCGCTTATTTTTAATTAAAGTTTATGAGCTGATGGAGAATAGCGTGGTTTTCACATCGAGCTGTCAGGGTGTGTGAAGTGTTTGCACACTGAGAGCGCCTGAGGAGGACCTGCCAGGGCGTCGGGTACTCGTGTCCCAGGTCCCTTTGACGAGGGGCCTGGGTTATGACCCCAGCCAGTGCGGGAGATATTTGAGACCATTTCAAGAGTAAAACGGCCTAATTATGAAGTCAATGGGGTTTTAGTTAATCTTTGTACCTTAGTGACAGCCCATTAAATAGCTCAAACCAAATAGCATTTTTAAAACGAGCCTGTTTTTTGCCTAACAAAGCTGTCGATATGTGGTTAATCTCTTGATAATATGTCCTGTTGCAGCAGGGAAAAGCAATCTCATTTTTCAATTGACTGGGCCTTTTACGTGAAATTTGCACTCTAATTGCAGCTGTGAAATGTTCTCAGTGTTTGTTAACTGGACCACAAAAACCCTGTCAAACTGAAATGTTAAACCGGGAGTGTAAACGCAAGCCGCAGACAGCGAGGTCCCAGACCGCAGGGACGGCGCTCCAGGTGGTGGGTGCGGCGTTTCCCCGTGGAGTCTGAAGTTCTGGATTATGCTAACACCTTTCGTTGCAGTTCAGGCCTGTCAGTTAGGTTAGGATAATTGCCCCTCCCCATGCCTCATTCCCCCAGTCAGTTCTCTGAAAGCATCAAAGTCATTGCTTTAAAGAGAAACATGCCGCCCTGGCCGGTTTGGCTCAGCGGTTAGAGCGTCGACCTGCGGTCCGGAGAGACCCGGGTTCGGTTCCCGCTAAGGGCACGTACTTCGGTTGCAGTTTGTCCCCGGCCCTGGTTGGTCGTGCGGGTGGCAGCCACTCGATGTGTCCCTTCACGTCGATGTTTCTCTCTCTCTCTCCCTTCCTCTCTCTCCCTCCCACTCTATCTGTACAAAAAAGGGAAAAATATCCTCGGGTGAGGATAAAAAAAAAAAAGAGAAACATGCCCTTCTTCGGCTTAACACCTTGATGCATTTACCAGAGGCCTGGGTCTGGCTTCCTGGCTCTTCCCCGCGGGAGAGCACATCAGATCCAGGCTCCTCCCCGTGGGCTTCATGTCCTGGTCTCCTACTGCTCCCCCAGCTGCTGCCATTTCTTCCTTTGATTCCAGCAGGAAGCTTGGCCTTTCAGTTCCTGCAGCTGCCAAGCCAGACTCTGCCACAGGCCCTTTGCACCTTCCCTGTTCTTTAGATGGCTGCTTCTGCCTCACCCTTTCATTGCAGCTCTCAAGGGATGTCCCCTGACCTCCCGGTTATTCTCTGTCACATCGTTATTGGTTTGTTTTCTTGATTATAGTGTAAGCTCCATATGGGTCAAAGCCAGGCCCATCTTATTTGTCCTTTGTCTTAGGGAAGAAGGTTCTCCACTCCCATTTCATGTTTTAAAAGTCAGCCTATAGGCTGTGCTGTCTGTCTGCATCTTAAATTTGATTTCCTTGTGTTAAGTCCCTTGTTTTAAATTTGAGGTCACGGACGTGGACTTTGTAGCCTTGAAGGCTGTGGTGAGGCTGGCGGAGCCATACCTCTGTGAGTCTCAAGTGAGTGCCTTCACCATGGAGTGCATGAGGGAGCTCCTGGACCTGAAGGGACAGCGGCTGCCGCTGCAGGAGCTGTGGGTGGTGTTCGACGGCTCCGGAGCGTTTGACCAGACCGCGCTCGCCATTGAGCACGTCAGGTAGGGGCGAGCCTGTGACATCGGCCTCGTGGCCGGGCACTTGGGACCCAGTGCAGCAATTCTGGTCTGCGCTACACCCAGACTTAACCCTCAGGCTGTGAGCTTGGTCACCGCACTATTTTAACATATTCAAATATGGGGGGAATAGTCATTAAACTAAAAAAATTTAAAGAAGTGTTTAAAACTTCTGTTTTGAGGTAATTTCAGACTTACAGAAAAGTTGAAGAAAGTACAAAGAATTCCTGTGTAGCCTTCCCTCGGTCCTCACACATTAACAAAGACATGGGTTCTCGGTTTGGTTTGTATAAATCTAGAAACTGTCCCGAAAGTTCTGGAGGCTGAGCCTTGGTCAGAGTGAAAGAGGAACGGAAAGCCCTGGCCCAGGTGGGGCAGGAACATGTGTCGGGGGGTGGGGAGGGGGGAGCAGAGGAGTAGCAGGGAGAGATGGGAGCTTGCCTTCGAACTGTGACTGTTGAAGCTGGGTGAGGGGTGCGTGGTGCTCATGACTGTTTGCTCCGTGTGTATTGGAAATTGTCCATAATAAGACAATTGTTAAATCACATGGGGAGCTTTAAAAAACATTTGGATCCTGCAACCAACACCTCCCCACCCCCAGCTCTTGAGAGATTCTTATGTATTGGTCTGGTTAGATTTGGGAATCAGTTATTGAGAGTCCCAGGGGAGCCTAAGGTGCAGCCAGGGTTGAGAACTGCCTTGCATCATGCCCGGGATGAGCTCATGTGCTGCTCTGAGGCTGTCGGCATGCCGACGACTCCCAGATTGCTGGCCCTGGCCCTGGCCCTTCCCCAAGCTACCAGCTGGCATGTGTCTGCACTGCTGACACCACCGCAGGAGATCAGACACACATTTCAGCTCACACATGGCAGAAACAGCTACTTCAACCTGAACCTGTTTCTCCTAGCAAACAGCCCCACCATCCACTCACTCACGACAGTCAGGGACTAGTTCTGATAAAAAGGAAGTTCTAGCAGACTCCGCGCTCTGGAGAAACCTCTGCAGCTGGCTCAGAAAAGGGCTTGTGCGCTCTGAGACCCCCAGGTGCAGCCAGTGCCTAGAGTTTTTTTCCACAGGCGATAGAACTGTTTTGATTTTTTTCCTTCGCTCCCATCCCTCCAAAACCCTCACACCCTGAGCCAGTGATTGCACTTGAGTGACACTAATTTCCATTTCAGGTTTTTCTACCAACACATTTGGAGGAGTTGGGATGAAGAAGAGGAGGATGAGTACGACTATTTTGTCAGATGTGTAGAACCTCGATTGAGACTGTGAGTGTTCACTCGTGACCTTGCACATGTTGGCAGCACAGCTGCCTGTGGTTCAGCTGCACCTGTGCCTGCAGGTGCTCTTCAGGGCCCGCTGGAAATGGGCGGGCGGTGGACCAGCATAAAGGAAACTCGCACGTGCAGAGAAGCCCACTTGTGGCGTTTTAAACGGAGTCCAAAATAGAGTGTTCAACCACATCCAAGTTAACAGCTCAATGTTTTGTAAATCTGAATAACACCTGAGCTAATGTGTTAAAAAACAACAACAAACTGTTAAATTAAAAGACAATTATTTGAAAAGCAGTGAAATTAACTGAATTATAGAAGATTTCTTGCTTTGATTTCTTAAAAGAGTACTTTAAAAAATTTTTTAGTTTTTGATTTTAGAGAGAGAGGAAGGAGAGGGAGAGAGAGATAGACACATCAATGAAAGAGAACATCGATTGGCCGCCTCCTGTATGCCCGCCACTGGGCATCGGGCCCATAACCTGGGCATGTACCCTGACCGGGAATTGAACCAGTGACCTCTTGGTTTGGGTTGACGCTCAACCACTGAACCACACCGGCCAGGTTTAAAAGAGTGATTTTAAAGATACATGGCTTTGCTCTAAGTTCCTATAGTAAGACACACCTAACAGACTTAGCTTGGGATGTTTTGTTAGGTTCTTATCCTCAAATATCATTTGACATATAGATGAAAATACTGAATAGTTAATAGTAGTGAATCAGAATGTCTAAACACATTCTTCTAAGATTGTATTTTGGTAGGAAAAACTCTTCCATAGAAAAATACCCCAAATTCACCGCCACTGAACCTACTGAATAGCTGTCACACACTTGGCTAAGGATGGCATTTAGCCTTCCACTAGAGGGTGATCTAACACCGTTTATTTTTCTCTAGTAGTAATTTAATGGGCCTGCTGCAGTAAGAAGAGATTAGAACTTGCACTCCCAAAGAAGAGACAGATTTGTCAAAGGGAATTTCCCCGTGTGAGAGATGATTTGGTTATGTGTGGTAAGGCAGCCTCTGCACGTTTGTGGAACCCTAATTGATTTAGTCAGTTTTCTTGGTTTAAGTCACAAGTAATAAGAAAAGTCATGCAGTCTGGTTTGTGGTGTGGCCTGGCTGAGGTTATGCACGTCTGGTCTCCGCTCCGCACAGGCTGGCTGTGGTTTCTGTAGCCTTTCCAGCGTCTGCGTTGTGAATTCAGTGCAATGGCAGGACTGCGAGAAGCTCGCGTGCTCTCTAGTTCTGACAGGCAGCTCTAGAGCAGGGGCTGGTTTGATGGGGTGAAATGTGATGTAGGTGGATGCGTGTGTGTCTCACGTGGAGAACGCACTGTTCAGCTTGACAGTCTTCCTCGTGCGAGCGTGCAGGTTGTCACCCCGTGCATCCCGGGCGGGAGATGTCGGGCAGGCGTTGTTTCCGGTGACGAAGGAGAAGGCCGTGCTTGGGGGAGGAGCTGGGATGCAGGCGGGCGGCTCTTTACCAAGGTCCCCGGCTCAGGTGGAGCAGCTCTCAGCGGGCAGGACCCAGGGAGTCAAGCCGGCTGTGATCTCACACCTGCCCTCGGCAGACACGGCTGCAAGGCCTGTGCCCGAGACACGGTGGGCTCGCCGCTCGCAGGCTGTGTCGCTGGGGAAAGGAGGAAGCCACCTGGCACGGTGTCGGAGATGCTGAAGGACTGATTTTAAAATTTGAGTCTTCATCTTCGTGAGCTCATGGAACTGACCTTACAGTCAGTGGTTTGGACCCCAATTTCTTGTCTGCAAAGTGGATTTCCAGACTCTCTTTAAATGCAGATGAACCAAAGCAGACAAAGTCTTTGTTTTTCAAGCTTCACCTAATTTATTTAAACAGCAGAAAAAATTATTTTTACTTATTTTTAAACTCTGCTGTGGTCATTTGATGCCCATTTGTCGAGGATGCGGATCTGTCCCCCATCAGTGCCGCGTGGCTGAGTGTGGGACAGCGCCCAGGCAGCAGGCCGCTCTCGCCCGTCCGGACGGCCTCCGGGCTGCACGCCGGCCGCTCCCTGCTCGAGCCCAGCTCCCCTGGCCGGCGGGCCCCGCGCTCCCTGAAGTTCCGGGCGCAGCCAAGGCTGAGAAGCGCGGGCCTGGGGGTCCACAGGAAACATGCTCTGACCGAGGAACAGCAGCGGCAGCGGCGCTGTGCTTCGTTTCCAGACCCGTCACCGCCGCCGCGTGCTCGGCCAGATTCGCATTCTCAGTTACTCTCGCATCAGGAATGCTTTGTTTTACGTATTTGAGGATATAAATTAATAATGAAGTTTAAGTACTGTAAGCTTGTCCAGTATGAGGTTATTGGTTTTAATCACTCTCGTTTATTAACCATGGCTCAATTTTTTTTCTCAGAATCTGAAAGGTTGTGTTTTTGAAATACTCTGACAGTCCCGAGGGGCTGTTCTGTGTCATTCCGTGCCATGTACTTTAATGTGAGCAAAGGCTGGGTGATTGGGACCGTTCTTCCTCTTTGATCCTCTAAGTATGGTCATCTTGCACATTGTGATGAGACCATTTTGGATACTTCCCTCCCCGCCCCCAGCCCAGATTGCCTTCTGTGACCCATTTGTCAAGGCTTTGAATTTCGTATGTGAGAAAAAGTCCCACTGGATAATGGTGACAGATTGTGCGGCGCGAACATTCAGTGGTTCTGTCGCACAGATGCTCGGCTCTAAGGGGAAATGCAGCTTCTCGAAAGGAGAAATCACTGCCCTCACAGAAGTGATGCTCAAAGCGTTCAGTAGCTCCCACTTCCTGCAGAATGGGGCCCCGACCTCCCTGCACCCGAGCCACGGGCCGGGGAGCAGTCCCCTGGGCCTGGGAGAACAGCGGCCTGTCTCGGTGATGGGAACGGTGTCCGCAGGCAAGGGCCTCAGCTGCTTCTCCACTTGCAGGCACTATGACATTCTCGAGGACCGTGTTCCCTCCGGACTCGTCGCCGACTACCACAGCCTGTTGTCGCAGTGCGAGGGCATCTACAGGAGCTTCTTGAATCTGAGAAGCAGCCTGTCGGCCTGTGGCTCGGACTCAGAGCAGGAGAACATCTCCATGGTGGAAGGGCTGAAGCTGTACTCGGAGATGGAGCAGCTGAAGCAGAAGCTGAAGCTCATCGAGAACCCCTTGCTGCGGTCCGTGCCTCCTGCTGTGGGGCTGCGGGGCTGCGGGGCTGCGGGCTGCCGGGCACTCACGGCTCTGCCTTCTTCCAGGTACGTGTTCGGTTACCAGAAGAATTCTGACATCCAGGCGAAGGGCGTCCGTCCAGATGGTCAGAAGGTCACCCACGTGGTCTCCTCCACCATGATGACCGGGCTGCTGCAGTCCCTGCTCAGGGACAGGCTTTGTCAGGAGCCGTGTGCGGAAGACAGAGAAGTCCAGGTAAAGGACCGTGTCTTGCTCTGGGTGGCCTTTCCCTTCTGATTCACCCAGGTTCTCACGAATTCTCCAGAGCGCTGACGGGGTCTTCCAGAGCTGGTTTTCTGGGGGGGAGGGGCTGGCGGCCCTGCTGGCCCCGCCTTCTGTTGGCACGCCCTGGGCGCAGGCGGCAGCACGGGGTGCCCCATGTGCGGGGACTCCTGCAGAGCGGTGCAGGCGCTGAGGAGCTCAGGCCGCACTCCGTCCTTGCTGTCTTCCAGTTCCACAGCGACCCCCTGTCGGCCATAAACGCCTGCTACGAAGGGGACACGGTGATCGTCTGTCCCGGCCACTACGTGGTGCACGGCACCTTCTCCATCGCTGACTCCATCCAGTTGGAAGGCGAGTGTTGAAGGTCATGGGCCGGGCTGCGCTCGGGCACCATGGGCTGGTTGGGGCTCCAGGGGTAGATGCAATGTCACACATTACGGGCACTTAACACTCGGGACTGACTGGGTTCTGGGCAGCTCGAGGGGTGTTCTCTGGCCTCTGGAAGGGGAAGGCAAGCACGTGGAGAAAAGGACCGTAGGAAGAAGCATATTTCCAGATACAGGTGCTTTATGGAGAGGAGATCTCTTTCTAGAATGAAAAGTATTCCAGCAATATGTTTAAAAAACATATTTTTAAATTTAAAATATTTACATATTCATATATTTCTTAATTGATTTGTTTTTTTAATCCTTGGGAAAAATCCCGAGGGTATTTTTCCACTTATCTTCTGATAGGGTGGGAGGGAGAGAAAGGGAGAGAGAGAGAGAGAAACATCGATGCAGGAGGGACACATTGGCTGGGTGCCTCTTGCATGACCCTGACTGGGGCTGGGGTCAAATCTCAACTAAGGTATGTGCCTGTGGCCAGAATCGAACCCGTGACTCATTGGTCTGTGGGTCGACCCTCTACCACTGAGCCAAACTGGCCAGGGCTTTAATTAATTTTTTTAGAGAGAGAGAAACATCGATGTTTCGAACTGGGACCTCTTGGTCCATGGGACGAGACTCAATACGCTGAGCAACACCGGCTGGGCTTAAAAATATATCTAAAAAGTATTTTTTTACTTGCTGCTTACTCTTATTTCATAAATTTTGTGACTATATTGGTCCATCTTTTAAAAAATTTGCTTATTTTTGTGAGAGGTATAGATCCAACTTGAACCAAAAATCTTATTTTATTTTTTTTATCCTCACTCGAAATTTTTGCATTTATCTTCAGATAGAGCAGGAGGGAGAGAGGGGTAAGAGAGAGAAACATCCATGTGAGAGAGACGCATCTAGTGGTTGCCACCCACACAACCCCAGCCGGGGCCAGGGACAAACTGTAACTGAAGTACATGCCCTTAGCGGGAACTGAACCCGGGACTCTGGTCCTCGGGCCGATGCTCTAACCACTGAGCAAGACCAGCCAGGGCTCATCTTAATTGTTAAAAAGCTGGCTGAAGGTCCCTTTGGGTCTTGGCCAGCACGTGCTGCTGGGAACATCGATGTTGCGAGAGTCTGTGCAGAACACGTTCTCAGCAGTCGGCGTCCGTGCACAGTTAGGGCGATGCCTGCACTCGGGTTGCGTGTGGTCGTTCGTCTTGTCCTGTGTGTCCACGATGTGTCACATTTACATGCACCTGTTCAGCTATTTACCAAAAGAGCTCCAAGTCGGCAATAAAGCTCGTAATGCAGACAGTCATCCGTCACTGTGGCCGCGTGCAGCTGTTCACAGACAGCGTCAGCCACGTCCTTTATCTTCATCTTGTCAGACCTCCTCATGGAAATGGCCGGCGTTCAGTCCCTGCTGCTCCCCAGTGCATCACCTTGCCCCTGTTTTATGTGTGGCCTGTGTTCTGTCCTGCGGAGTCTGGCGTTGGGGGTTGTGTATGAGGAGCACCCCTGTGGGTAGGGTGCCGCTGTCGGAGCCCTGATCATGGGCAGTGAGGAGAGCAGGGCCATAGGCTGTGCGCTGGACAGGAATCCTTCCTCGACGGCTGAGGAAGTTACGTGGAACGGCCCGAGTGTCGTCAAGGACCAAACAAAATTCTGTTGGTAATAATGGCTACGTTTACTAACGGCACTTCTGAGAATCTGGGCAGTCGGGTGGGCACTGGTGTGAGTGGCGGAGAGGGAAGCCTGTGTGACGCTGTCTGCCGCTGACCAGGACTGCAGTGCACCCCTGTGACGGGACACGGAGCGCCTGCCGTGTGCACGGCGCTGGGTGCACCTGTCACCCCTGTGACGGGACACGGAGCGCCTGCCGTGTGCACGGCGCTGGGTGCACGGGTCACCCCTGTGACGGGACACGGAGCGCCTGCGGTGTGCACGGCGCTGGGTGCACGGGTCACCCCTGTGACGGGACACGGAGCGCCTGCCGTGTGCACGGCGCTGGGTGCACGGGTCACTCCTGTGACGGGACACGGAGCGCCTGCCGTGTGCACGGCGCTGGGTGCACCTGTCACCCCTGTGACGGGACACGGAGTGCCTGCGGTGTGCACGGCGCTGGGTGCACCTGTCACCCCTGTGACGGGACACAGAGTGCCTGCCGTGTGCACGGCGCTGGGTGCACGGGTCACTCCTGTGACAGGACACAGAGTGCCTGCCGTGTGCACGGCGCTGGGTGCACCTGTCACCCCTGTGACGGGACACGGAGTGCCTGCCGTGTGCACGGCACTCGGTGCATGTGTAGGGCTTTTCTTGCTTACAATGTCCATTCACTTAGGTGATGGCTTTATAGTCAGAACCGTTAAGAATGTGTAACTTGGTTATGTCATCATCTCAGTTTTTCTCAGTATGGCATTTTTTTATATTTAAAATTTTTCTGATGATAAACAGTGGTTACTGTGGAAAATGCAGAGTATAGGCAGACACATGAATGAGAAAACAAATTGCTCACAATGCATCACCCAAGGTCACCTGGGGTGGTGCTGGGGTGTGGGGTCCTGGGGCTCGCTAGCACCCCTGAGGCGGGTCTGTGCGCTTCAAGTGCAGATCCCTCCTGGCCTGTTAAAGGTGGTTACTGCTTTCCTTGGCGAAGGCTGGTCTTCGCACAGGAGTGCCTTAGGACAGCTGTGTCTGGCGCTCCTTACTGATGGAAGTCAGGTGGGCTCCCCACCTTCCTGATACTCCCAGTTCTGTAAGGCCGTTCAGAGGCCTGGCCTGCGTTCTTCGTTTGATTCAGATTTGTAGAGATCCAGTGTTTTTTTTGGTTAACAAGGTCGACCTATTTTTGAGTAGCTAAAAGTGTTTTAAGTCAGGTTGTCAGATTTTAACTCAATCTGTTTTTTGTTTTTTTTAATTCCTCACCTGAGGATATTTTTCTATTTATCATCAGATAGAGTGGGAGGGAGGGAGAGGGAGACAGAGAGAAACATCGATGTGATAAAGCCACATCAACTGGTTGCCTCCCACGGGACCTGACCAGGGCTGGGGATGAACCACAACTGTGGTATGTGCCCTTGACCTGAATTGAACCTGCAACTCATTGGTACTCGGGCTGATACTCTAACCACTGTGTCCAACCGGCCAGAGTTAAGCCAGTCTGTTTAAGAGAATATTCAAATGAGATAATCTTGAAAAATGCTTAGGCTTTCTGAACCCTAATTTATTTACTTTTTTAGCTCATCTTTATTGTTAAATGTATTACAGATGTTTCCCCTTTTTTTACCCATTGACCCCCTCCTCCCTAATCCAGCCCCCCTCCTGCCTTCCCCACACTATTGTTGGTATCCATTGGTCATGCATATGTCTTCAGTTTATCTCATTCCGCCCTCCCTCCCCCCTTCCCTTTGAGGTTCATCAGTCTAAAAACCAATTTGTACTTCTTAGTTTTTTCATCTTTTTCACCCATCCCTCCAGCCCCCACCCATCTGGCAAGCAACAAAAAGTTCTCTGTATCTATGAGTCTGTTTCTGTTCTGCTTGCTCATTTTATTTGTATATTCAATTGTTGATAGATATGTATTAATAGCCATTTTATTGTTCACATTTGTTCTTCTCCTTCAAGAAGACCCTTCAGCATTTCATATAATACTGGTTTGGTGGTGATGAACTCCTTTAGCTTTTTCTTGTCTGGGAAACTCTTGGTATGATCATCAATTCTAAATGATAGCTTTGCAGGATAGAGTAATCTTGGTTGTAGGTCGTTGCTTTTCATCACCTTGAATATCTCTTGCCACTCCCTTCTGGCCTGTGAAGTTTCTTTTGAGAAATCAGTTGACAGTCTATGGGAGCTCCCTTGTAGGTAACGGACTGCTTTTCTCTTGCTGCTTTTAAGATTCTCCCTTTGTATTTAACCTTTGGCATTTTGATGATGATGTGTCTTGGTGTGGTCCTTTTTGGGTTCATCTTGTTTGGAACTCTCTGTGCTTCTTGGACTTGTATGTCTGTTTCCTTCACCAAGTTAGGGAAGTTTTCTGTCATTATTGTTTCAATAACTTTTCAATTTCTTGTTCTCTTTCTTCCCCTTCTGGTACCCCTGTGATGTGAATGTTGGCACGCTTGAAGTTGTCCCACAGGCTCCTTATACTATCCTCATTTTGGGGATTTTTTCTTTTTGCTATTCTGATTGGTGTTCTGATTTTTGCTGTTCTGATTTGCTTCCTTATATTCCAAATTGATGGTTTGCTTCTTGGCTTCACCTACTCTACTATTGATTCCCTGTAAATTATCCTTTATTTCAGTTAGTGAATCTTTTATTTCTGACTGCTCCTTTTTTATGTTGATGTTTCACTACGTTCCTTGGAGGTCTCCTTAAGTTCTGTGAATGTCCCATCTAGTTCTTTGAGCAACCTTATAACCAGTGTTTTTAACTCTGCATCTGATTGATTGCTTATCTCCATTTTGTTTACTTCTTTTCCTGGAGTTTTGTTCTTTTCTTTCATTTGGGACATGTTTCTTTGTCTCCTCATTTTGACTGCTTCCCTGTGATTGTTTCTATGTATTAGGTAGAGTTCTATGTCTCCTAGGCTTCGTAGGGTGGCCTGTTGTTGTAGGTGTCCTGTAGGGTCCAGTGGCACAGCCTCCCGATCACCCCAGCTGGGCCCTCAAGGTGCACCCCTAGTGTGGACTGTACACCCCTCTGTTGTAATTGGGTCTTGATTGCTGTTGGCACGTCAATGGGAGGGATTTACTCAGGCTGATCAGCTGCAAGGACTGGCTGTGCCCACTGACCACTGGCCTCTGACCACCTTGGAGGATCAGCTGTGCAGGGCCCACCACACAGAGCAAGACTTACTTCAGCAGGGCTCTGGTACCACTGAGTCCGCTCATTGAGTGTTTTCCTTGTGGAGGTGGTGGGGGGGTGGTGCTTTGATGTGGTCTGAAGCTGTCCACTGGGTATTTTGGCTCTGGGGCAAGGTCAGCCACTGCCTGTGTTCTATCCGGGGCCACCAGGCATAAGCTACAGAGTGATCTGCCGATGGCTGCCTCTTGTGCTGGGCTTGGAGGTGCCCAGAAAAAGCCAAGCTGTGAACCAAAACTGGCTGCTTCTAGTGCCAGGCCTGGGCCACTTCGCAATAGGTATGGGGCTCGCTGAGACCAGGTGCTGCTTGTTGAGAGAGTTTAGGAAACTGAAGCAGGGTTCAAGGTGGGACAATCCTATGGAAACAGCTTGGGTGGGCCTGAAAGTTGGGTGGGGCGGGGCCTCAGGGAATCACCAGGGCGGGGCAAACAGTGTGAGCCAGGTTGCTGGAGTCCCAGATATGGTGCTGTCTGCCTGCCCTGTGAGGGAAGTGCTCACCTATGGAACAGCAGCCTCCACCAGCACGTGTGTCCGGAAGAAAGCTGCCTCTCTAGCCCTTGTCCCGAGGCCAAACAGCTCAGCTCTTCCCTGTGTGTCTCTGGTGCCCCTCAAGCTGCCTCTCCTCCAAGCTTAGAGGGAGCAGGTCCTAGTAAGTCCGTGCGCGGGCCCTTTAAGAGGCGCTTCCTGGGGCTCCCCCGGCCTCAGCCTCCCTCAGCCTCAGTTCCCGCTGGTTTTACAGCCAGAAGTGATGGGGATTCTCTTCCTCACGCTGGAACCCTGAGCTGGGCGCTTGGTGTGGGACAGGGACCCCTCACTCCTCAGGGAGGACCTTCCCTTATCCGCCACACGTGGGTGTGGGACCAGCTGATCTGCGCCTCCGCCCCTCCTCCAGTCTCCATGTGGCTGCTGCTTTAATTTCGTAGCCGAAAGACTTCCCTTCCGCTCGACGTCAGGCGGTTCTGAAGGATGGTTGTGCTGTACATTAGCTGTAATTTTGATGTGGTTGTGGGAGGAGGCGAGACCATGTTTACCTACGCGCCACCTTGACCAGCAGTCCTGAAACCTAATTAGAGTAATAGAATCTGAGAGTTGGAAAAAACCGTGTGTTAAATGCTGTAAAGCCCTTTGACCCTACTGTGAGTGCCTGGGTCATCTTTTCATAGCTGACTCATAGTGAATGTGGTGCTGATCTGGTCTGGTGGTTACTGGGCGGTGTTCCTGATGTGGGGCAAATCGAGACGTCATTAAACGTTGTATACTCTGGTTTAAATCAATCAAGATGTGTGGGGGAAGAATTAGATGTTATTTCAACGCAATGGGTTGACTGTCTTATTGGAACAGAAATGCGCTGTGGCCATCTGCTCAGGCATTTCCCTGCACCGGCTTGAACGGCCTCGCTCTCTCTCTCAGGGTACGGTCTGCCCGATGACGTCGTGATAGAAAAGAGGGGCAAGGGGGACAGTTTCGTGGACTGTACGGGTGCGGACATTAAAATCTCGAGCATGAAGTTTGTTCAGCATGACGCTGTGGAAGGGATCTTAAGTGAGTATTTGGGTACTTGGGGTCGGGTCCGTCCCGCGCTCCGAAGAGAGCTTGACTCCCCCTGGAAGGTGCAGTCTAGCGAACACCACTGGGGTCTGCAGGGGCTGACCCTTATCTGTGCACGTAGCTCGATGACTTAGGGTGCTCATCCGAAGTGGAAACAGTCCAGCCTCTTTTTGAAAGCTGGTTAGTTAAATATTGGTTTCTGTGTGATCATTTTTTCTTTTAACACCTTCCAAGATTGTGGTCTGTGGTCTTGGTATCCGCTTGAGCCCTTGGTGCAAACTAGCCAACTGCATGTTTCTCTGTGATCCCTGTTCCCTCGAATTTCCAGCATGCTCAGGAAAGTGTCTGTGGGCACTTTTTTTTTTAAATGAAAAGTATTTTTTAACTTGATTTTGCATTTCTGAAGTCAAGTCATTCATTTTTAAGCATGTTGTTTTTAGATTTTTAGACAGCTAAAATAGTCAATATTTTGTATATTTTGAATTTGTCATTCCAGTAACAGGTTTAAGTGGTAGCTATTAAGAAGTGTTTAGACGTCTCAGGCCAGCCCTGGGCCATGTCTCAGCTGGGGAAGGCACATTCGCGCGTGTGCTGTGTTTCCCCAGCCATCCATCGGGGCAGGACCACCGTGGAGAGCTGCGTGCTGCAGTGCGAGACGACCGGCGTCACTGTGCGGACGTCCGCGGAGTTCGTGATGAAGACCTCGGACTTGTATGGGGCCAAGGTGCGACTGCCCCGTCCTTCCAGGGTGAAGTTCCACATGGGCCGGGAAAGGGGCCAAGATCTAAGTGTGTCCTCCTGTTCTCTCTTCAGGGAAGTCCAGACGCTCACCCAGGGTCAGCCAGACTCAGTGTAGGGGGCTCTTCTAATCTATCCTTTCAGATCAGGTTAGGGAGAGAGCTCAGACTCACCCTTCTCCATGACACCGACGGCTCTCCGGACCCATGGGATGAGAGGCCGGGGCGGATGTGCAGGCCTTCGGGGTTGTCCATCCGGTCGGAGGGTCAGCTGTGGGTTCTTGCAGACGTTCTTTCTTTTTTACTCACCCGAGGACATTTTTCCATTTTTTGTTCAGGTAGAGTGGGAGGGAGAGAGAGAGAGAGAGAAACATCGACGTGAAAGGGACACATCCACTGGCTGCCTCCCGCACAACCCAACCAGGGCTGGGGACGAACTGCAACTGAGGTACGTGCCCTTAGCGGGAACCGAACCCGGGTCTCTCTGGACCGCAGGCCGACGCTCTAACCGCTGAGCCAAACCGGCCAGCGCATCTTGCAAACATTCTTGATCAAGTTGAAGAAAGTCTGTGTTTCTGTTTTGGGATAATTTTTATAATGAATGTGTGTTGGCTTTTGTCAGATGTTTTCTCTGCATTATTTGATGTGGTCACATGGTATTGGTTAATTGAGGAACAGAATCAGAAACTGGTTTGTTCGGAATGAAAGTGGAACGGCAGCGATGTGTGTGCGTGCATGTGGTCTGAGGTGGCGATGAGAGCCGCTGGGACTGGAGCAAAGGGCCGCGTCCATGAAACGTCTAATAAAAGTCTCTCAAACACAGTTTGCACCTTACGTTTGTTCTGTATTAAAGTCTAAGAAGTGGTTGTAATGAGCCTTCTCTGATAGTCCTTCCCTTTACAAGCCGGTTGCCTGACCCTGCCTGTGACTTGCAGGGTGCCGGTGTGGAGGTGTACCCCGGGAGCACGTGCACCCTGAGCGACAGCGGCATCCATCACTGCAAGGAAGGCATCCTCATCAAGGTGAGCGCCTCCTCCCGAAGGTGGGCGCTCCCCCGGGAGGTGTGTCGCTGACCCGCACGCTGGGCTTGGGCGGCTTCTGCTTTGGAGTAGGTCTAGTGCTGCGAGTGAGGGGCTCCCGGGGAAGGCCGTGCTGGGCTGATCTGCAGCAGTGACAAGGCGGGGTCGCTGGCTCAGGCTGCTCCTGTGCGGAGAAGCATCCCTTTCTGCTGTGCTTTCGGAGCGGCGTGGGAGGGGTGGTTTAAAGGCACGTGTTTCCCGCACAGGACTTCCTGGACGAGCACTACGGCATTCCCCGGATATCCATGGTGAACAACGTCATACACAACAACGAGGGCTACGGCGTCGTCCTGGTGAAGCCCACCATCTTCTCCGACCTGCAAGAAGACGCCCAGGACGGGGCTGAAGGTGTGCCGCCGGGTGTTTCTGAGTGCAGACCGGGGAGTCACTTCATTTCAGCCCTGCACTCTGATTGGGGACCTGAGCACTCCTCCCTGCCCACGCACGCCTGGGCCTGGGCCTGGGGCGGGGAGCTGGCTACAGCTGTCACGTTGTGGGATCTCGGGGGGAAGGCACTTGCAAGGTCAGCTGGTTCAACTGCTCCTTCAAAATTGCGGTGTGCGGTTTCCGTGAGCCCGCAGCCCCTCCCACGCCCCTGGCTTCCTGTGAGCGCAGGGGGCGTGTGGAAGCCGCATGGCTCTGCTGGCGCCTGTCAGGGGCGGAGGCCGAGCAGTGCACGTCCAGGCCCCAGGTCGCTCCTCCAGGGGCCACGGGGCCTTTGTTTTCATTGCTCGGCTGTCGACTGTCTGTCTTGGCAGCAGTGGGAAGTGCATGCGTTTTAGGTCATGACCCCGACTGCTGTGGAGTCTCAGTGCTGAGAAGGTGTGAGCTTTGGTGGGAGGAGGAGGCCTTGGCTCAGGGTCTGCTCCCGTCAGATCTCTGCGAGCTCTCTGTTCTCACAGGTCTGTAGGTCAGAGTGCAGGTGGGCTTGGCTTAGGGTATCTTCGGGGCGACAGTGAGGCGTCTGCTGGGCAGAGCCCTTACCTGAAAGTTTTGGGGGAGGGTCTTCTGAGCTTATTCTTGTTGGCAGAATCCATCTCCTTGAGGATGTGGGACTGAAGCCCATTTGCTTACTGGCTGCTGCTGGGGATGGCTCAGCTCCAGTGACCGAGCTCAGGTCCCTGCGCACGACCCGCCACCCCAGCAGCAGGGAGCTGCCCCAGGTTAGCCTCGCTGATGCTCGAGTCTTCCTGCGTTCCTTCTGTTGAGCCAGAGAAAATTCTGCTTTTAAAGGCCCCCATGGGCCCTGGCCAGTTTCGCTCAGTGGTTAGAGTGTTGGCCTGCAGACCAGAGTCATGAGTTCATTTGTGGTCAAGGGCATGTGCCTTGGTTGTGGTTCAGTCCCTGGTTGGGGTCATGCAGGAGCAACTGGTCGATGTGTCCCTCTCACATCAATGTTTCTCTTTCTTCCCTCTCCTTTTATCTGAAGATAAATGGAAAATATCCTTGGGTGAGGATTTATTTATTTAAAAAAATATTTGTTCTTTATTGATTTTAGAGAGAGAGGAAGGGAGAAGGAGAGAGAAACATCGATTGGCCGCCTCCTGCATGCCCCCCACTGGGGATCCGGCCCACAACCTGGGAATGTGCCCTGACCAGGAATCGAACCGGCAGCCTCTTGGTACATGGGTCAACACCCAACCACTGAGCCACACCGGCCGGGCTTCTCGGGAGAGGATTTTAAAAAATAAAGTAAAATAAAGGGCCCCGGGGACCAGGTTATGCACACCTGACTATCTCCTTCGAGTCTGCTGATTAGTAACCTTAATCACCTCTGCAAACCCTCGTGCCCTGAACAGTTGTGCGGGCAGCAGCAGGGCAGGCCTCACAGAGCATCTAGCTGCCTGCGGTGCTGGGCAGTCGGTGAGTGCAGGGAAGGTCTGGAGCGAAGGCGATTCTAGGAGGAAAAGGGGAGAGGGCAAAGTTGGTAATGCCGTGTGTCGGGAGCCCGGTCTGGAGGGCAAGGCCACCGGCCGTGGGCTCTGGTGCGGTTTGTCACATCCGGTGGGCAGCAGCAGGCGTCCTCGGCAGGCAGAGTGTGAAGCTCTGTGGACTGGAGGGGCGTGTTCTAGGTGGGTTCCTTTGTCTGTTTAACTGTGTTTGTTTCTCCAGAAAATAAAGCACCTACAGCTCCGACGAGTGGAGAGGCAGAGGCAGCTGCGCGAGTGGGCCTGGGCGAGCCGCTGCAGTGCGTGGCCGGGAGAGGGGGGCTGGGTGCGCGGCCCGGCCCCTCCGAGCAGGTCGAAGGCAACTGGGAGATCGTCAGCGAGCTCGTCGCCGCCTCCACGCAGAAAGGCCAGATGAGGAAGAAGAGGCTGAGTGAGCTGGGGATCACGCAGGCCGACGACGACCTGATGTCCCAGGAGATGTTTGTCTCCATCATGGGGAACCAGTTCAAGTGGAACGGGAAAGGCAGCTTCGGCACGTTCCTGTTCTGAGCACGGTGGCCTGGACGGGCCGCCAACACTGCTCTGCACAGGCCGCCGCGGCCCGCTTCCTGTCCGGCTGTGCTCCACGGAGACGGCTGGAGCGGGACGTGGGCTCGCGCTGCAGGTGCTCCGAGAGCACCCCCTCCTCATCAGAAGGCGATGAAATCATGTGAAGTAGAAAACTCTTGGAGATTCTTCTCTAGAAAGTCTTGCACAGTTCTCTGATACCGAGCCTATTCCTAACTTCTTCGTGTAAATTCACTTGGCACTTCGAGGGAGGAGCATGCCCAGGCACGCGGACGGGGCACAGAGTGCAGTTCCGCTGAACCGCAGCCGCCCTGTGGTGTCTTCGGACCCGGTGATGGCGAGCCCTGTGTCCTGTGTTTGCAGGAACCGTGCCTCAGAACAGCTCTGGCAGCGGGGATTCTCCTCAGACTCTTCCTGAGGCTGAGTGGGCTGCAGGTCCTATGTCACGGAAATGGGCAGGTGGGCAGCAGGTTCGCAGCAGGAACGAGACGTGTCGCTCGGAGCCAGCGTGCGCGCAGCATGTCCCGAGCGGGTGCTTAGACAGAAAGGCCTTCCTCCGCAGCGGGTTCTGATCGCGCTTCTCGGCGGCGACTTGTCCAAACCAGGCCGCTCCGTGGTTGGATGTCATCTGTAAACCCAGCTTTAAAGGTGTTTGTACTGCCCGGCCCGTGGGCTCAGTGGGCTGAGGCCCCCGTCTGATTCCTGGTCAGGGCACAGGCCTGGGTGGTAGGTTCAGTCCCCAGGTGGGGGCGTGCAGGAGGCAGCCAGTCGATGTTTCTCTCTCACATCGATGCTTCTATCTCTCCCTCTCTCTAAAATATCAATAAAAAATATTTAAAAAATAAAAATATTTATATTAAAGAAATTATATGTGCTATTAGTATGTCTGCTGATTAAAGTCACGCTGCTGAAACACGCCGGATCTTGTCATAGTCCTGAAACGTCACGGGCCGTGCTCCGGGTTGGGGTGTGTGGTCCTTGGGCGTACTCGCCTTCGTTGGATGACTTTAGTGTTTCAGAAAGAGTATTAAATCTCAGTGTGGTCATTTATTTTTAAATTTGAATAAATTGTCATTCTTTTCAGATGCTACTAACTGGATGGATGCATATTAATCAGACGTGTGCCTGTGGACGGGCATCTTTCTCAGCCTGTTAAACCCAGTGGCAGAAGTGATGCTGATTATTCTGCACCAACCTGATCCAAATACTGACTTAAAAACCATTCATTCAACTTAAAAATCCAATTGGCTTCCCACTCGACTTTCCACTTCATCTCGGGTTTGGGATGTGCATGTTTTCTGACCTGGGGTGGCAGGGGGACCGGGGAATGGCCGCGGCAAGGGGGGGCCAGTCACTCTTCCTTTCCAGAGCCTGATGTTTGTCCAGGTTTTATTTCTGCCTTAGTTTCATCTAAGCTTAAATGATCCATGTGGCCAGTTAGGTGACGTAGAGCTGCGCCCCACTGGTGACGCCGGGAGGGAGCGAGGACCTGGCGGGGGGCGGGGTCCGGCACCGCAGAGCAAGCACCGCTGGGGATGGCCTCTGCCATGGGCTGCGCTGCTGTCCGGCCCGGCCTGCCCTCAGTGTGACCTCGACTGTGCGGTGGCCAAGTCCTGTGTCGACTGGAGTCGTCTCCCTGGGTCCCTGTTCCGTTGGTGCCGCGAACACCACATGCTTGATCCTGCCGAGGCCGCGTGAGCTCGTGGCGTGTGTGCCCCACCGACAGGTTTGTCCAGCTCCTGGTTCCCCGAGGTGTGACGGTAGGTCCGGTTCCTGTCCTCAGTCTTCGCTGAACGTGGGAGTCGTGACTCCTGCGGTGGGAGCCGTGTCCACGGGACGTGGGGGCTCTGTTAGCAGTATCCTCTTGGGGTGGGAGCCGTGTCCACGGGACGTGGGGGGCTCTGTTAGCAGGGTCCTCTTGGGGTGGGAGCCGTGTCCACGGGACGTGGGGGCTCTGTTAGCAGGGTCCTCTTGGGGTGGGAGTCCTGTCCACGGGACGTGGGGGCTCTGTTAGCAGGGTCCTCTTGGGGTGGGAGTCCTGTCCACGGGACGTGGGGGCTCTGTTAGCAGTGTCCTCTTGGGGTGGGAGTCCTGTCCACGGGACGTGGGGGCTCTGTTAGCAGTGTCCTCTTGGGGTGGGAGTCCTGTCCACGGGACGTGGGGGCTCTGTTAGCAGTATCCTCTTGGGGTGGGAGCCGTGTCCACGGGACGTGGGGGGCTCTGTTAGCAGGGTCCTCTTGCTACCAGGTCAAACTTCACGTTTCTCGGGCTTGTTCTGTTGAAAGTTTTACTGGAATGGGTGGTATGTGATCATAAAAACATTTTTTTAATTTATTGATTATAGAGAGAGGAAGGAAGAAGGAGAGAGAGAAACATTGATGAGAGAACATCGACTGGCCGCCTCCTGCATGCCCCACGCTGGGGATCAGGCCCACGACCTGGGCACGTGCCCTGACCAGGAATCAAACTGGTGACCCCCTGGTGCAGGGTCGACGCTCAACCACTGAGCCACACCGATCAGGCCATAAAAACATTTTTGAAACATTTAAATTAAGGGGAGCGAGGTCAAGGCTGGTGCGCAAATTAAATCTCAGGTTCAGGTCGGCCAACCACGTTCCTGCTGAAATGTTTTCTGGAGTCTTGGTGCAAAGCTCCTCAAAGGCCATTTTGAATAGAATAGGACCGATTTAGCAAATCATTGAAAATGAATCCGAATCTGCAGTTGGAATGTTCTCACAGACCCAGTTCTGGTTCAGGTTGGCCCTCGAGCCCAGGGCAGCTCGGATGGCTGGTGGTGCTCCTGTCAGCCGTCGGGAACGCGGCCTGTCTCGACTTGGGGCCCCGAACTTGGGAGGAGCTCGGCACCCCGGCCTGCCGGGGTGGGGCTCCCGGCCCGCCGACAGCGCCCCGCGTCTTGCTCTTCAGCGCTCACGAGCTGGCAAGTGAGCAGACAGTTGAACACTTTGTGAAGTGACATTAAGCTTTACAGCCCCAGAAATCTACTTAATTCCCTGTCAGTGCCTCTGGAATGTGTTTCAAATCTGTTGTCGTCGGTAAAATGCTCGGAGTCCTCGGAGGACTATCTCCGACTTGGTTCTATCTGAAGCCTGCGACAGACTCGCTCCAGGCCCAGAGGGCTGAGCGCTGCTGTCCTGCGCAGTGCTGACCTGGGTGAGGGCTGGCGGCTCACTGGGGTCTGTCCGCTCAGGCTCGGAACGGCTGATCTCACGCTCCTAGTTCAGGAGCCGCGTGGGCCTGGTCGCGGGGTTTTCCTCTGAACCCAGTTTTCTGTTCTTTACGTAGCCTTTTGTTCAGCCAAGGCTCTGATACCACGCCACACAGATGCTGTCCCTTAGTCTGAAAAGCGGAGCCCACGGCTGTCCTTAGTTTCATCGGGGTGGGGCTCACAGGTGCAGACTGGTTGACGGTTCAGTGGCTGACAGGATCCTGCCCGTGGGGACTGGTGAGGAGGGGCCTGCGGCCGCCCCCCAGTGCACACCTGCCCCGTGTCCCCCTGTCCGGGGCAGCATGACGTGCAGCCGTCCGCGAAGGTGGTGGGCTCTCCTTTATTGCGTTTTTTTTGAAGCGATAAGGAATCCCCGCTCTGCTCCCGTCTCAGTTGTGTAGTGTGACATTGATTTTTCTCCGCCCTCGAGGAATGTCTTTCTAATGACAAATCAATTCCAGCACCTCCGGCGTCGGCTCGGGAGTGTGGTTGCCTTCGAGCCTCTGCTCCAGCCTCCCCACCTCCCGCGTCAGCTGCCCGAGTCGGCTGTGATGGATGGAGGACATTAGTGGGAGAAGTTAGCACCATTTTGATTTATTTTGTTTACTTTGAAAATAGTTTTCTCACTTGTCAAGTGGATTAATTATGAGAAACGAACTGTGGGGCCTGGTGGGGACGACGGAAAGAGGGCTGGGTCCCCTCCCGCGTGGCCATGGTGGCAGGACCACGCCCGGCGCTGGCCCTCTGCTGTGGCCGTGCCCTGCCCGCAGTGCAGGGTCCCCGGGTCACCGAGTGTTCCTGCTGGAGGGGCAGACGGGGCAGAGAGCGGGCCAGCACCTGATGGCAGCGACTTCCTTCCTGTGCCCCCCTCAGGCTCTCGCACCCTGTTGTTTCCTTGGGGATCAGCGTGCAGTGTACAGTGTTTTCTCCGGAACGTTTCTGTATCACATGCGGTAACTGATGTCAGCGGTCCCCCCTCGGGATGGCAGCTGGGGGGGCGGGGGGGGGCGTGAGCCTGTTCTCTCTCTCTCTCTCCTCGCCTGAGGGCATGGTTTCCACTGACTCTGGAAGGAGGAAGGGAGCGGGAGAAATAGAGAAGCATCGATCAGTTGCCTCCCAGGGGTGTCCTGACCCTCGTGAGGGTGCACAGGGTAATGCTCCGCCCACGGAGCCGCACGGGCCAGGGCCCCTCGATGGTGGCAGAGTCCCGCCCTCTGTTCCCGGTAGGCGCTCGGCCCCGGCCGCTGTTCCCGGTAGGCGCTTGGCCCCGGCCGCTGTTCCCGGTAGGTGCTCGGCCCGGCCCTCTGTTCCCGGTAGGTGCTCGGCCCCGGACCTCTGTTCCCGGTAGGCGCTCGGTCCCGGACCTCTGTTCCCGGTAGGCGCTCCGTCCCGGCCCTCTGTTCCCGGTAGGCGCTCGGCCCCGGCCCTCTGTTCCCGGTAGGCGCTCGGCCCCGGCCGCTGTTCCCGGTAGGCGCTCGGCCCCGGCCCTCTGTTCCCGGTAGGCGCTCGGTCCCGGCCCTCTGTTCCCGGTAGGCGCTCCGTCCCGGCCGCTGTTCCTGGTAGGTGCTCGGCCCGGCCCTCTGTTCCCGGTAGGCGCTCGGCCCCGGACCTCTGTTCCCGGTAGGCGCTCGGCCCCGGACCTCTGTTCCCGGTAGGCGCTCGGTCCCGGCCCTCTGTTCCCGGTAGGCGCTCGGCCCCGGCCCTCTGTTCCCGGTAGGCGCTCGGTCCCGGCCCTCTGTTCCCGGTAGGCGTTTGGTCCCGGCCCTCTGTT